TTTGATTCTCCTGGCACATCCTGCTGGCCAGGAAACGGCGAGGAGAATCTCTTGTCATCAGTGTGTGTCACCGACAGGAGAACAATTGATTCTCCTCGCCTTTCCCGTGCCGCGAAAAGCCCAGGGAAACTTGAACTTTCCCTGGGCTTTCCAAAGCATTCCCTGTCCACGACTTCGCGCTGATGCCTCCTGTGAGAATTAGACACTGTATGCCACCCATTCAAATTCACGCTCGGCGTGGCACTCGGTGAATTGATTTACTGCATGATTCGCCGTGACATTTTCCCAAAGGTGATGTACTGGAGGGTGCCGGAGCATAGCGCTAGGCAATCTCTACTCTAAATACAGGCTACGGCTACGTTCCACTGCCGTCGGTTCAGTCTAGGCATGATGGTCGTGAGCACGTCGCGAGTATCCGGCTCGGCTCCGTTTAGCCGCAACTCGGATCAAACTCGCCCTTGCCTTCTGCCAGCATGTTGCCATTGCCCTGATGCTGTGTACATAGGAGGCTCGTCGGATCGATATACTTGTCTTATCCACTGGGTTAACGACTGTCAACCATATACAGCGGCGAAGGAAACGCTTTGCTGTGGCCAAGTCCGAAGAGGGATACCTATGATATATTATAAGTGGGCATCCACCGACCATCAATCCGGGTCCAGATCACGCTCAGCCGGATACACGCAGTCACCAATGAGCGCTAGTGAGCACTGCGTCATCTCGCAGTCGTAGCGCAGCTCGTTCAGCCCCAGATTTCAGACTCCGTCATCGTCGATCACACCTCCTTTGCATCATCCCCTGCCTATCGTACTTATGTCTATATGCCAAAGAGCAGCCCAATTCGATGTCAGGGCCTCTCAAGATGCCGACGTTCGCAGACGCCCATGTGAGAGGACCATGCTTAGGCCCATACGCTGACCATTTTTAGACATCTACTTCGTCGTATTCAGATGAAACCCCCCGGTGTAACAACGTATATCTAGGTACGAGCCATCAAAGGACATGCAGAACGCGAAGGCAATCTGACAACGCACAGTCAATTACGAAACTCTGCACCATAGCCGCGGACCTTTCCGGCGGCAGGGTGCACTGTTCTCTGGCTGCAGAAAGGATAACTCGGCTGCATCACTCGTTGACTCGATACAAGCGTTGTCTTTGACAGACAGGAGAATAATGGATGGATAAATGCTGCGTTTGGGCCGGAAGCGATGGAAGTATCGTCCAGGTCCACACCGACAATGCTCTACGATGCCTCGGGCCGGCGGCAAGGGTCAGGGCGTTCTCTGGATATTCTGGCCGGTTCATTGCACAGACGATATCTTATTTTCACCCTTTGCATAATTGCGCTCATCATTGTGCGGATGCGGTCTGGCCTCTTTCAACAGCGTTACCGGCGGTTCGCCTCAGCTAAAAGGAGAGGCGGGGAATGCGAGGGTGTCTGAACGGCGCCTCGGGTTTCACCGTGACGGTCTCTCGCAATGTTGTCTCTGGGGCTTGCACTCCTATTACCCACCGCTGGTGTCTCTGCGTCACCTGCCTCTCAGAGTGTTAAGTCAGTATGCTATCAGATAGCTGACGCTGTCTCGAGCGCCTCAAATGTGTATTACCCTTGTAAGTGTTCAGCTTGAGGTTTATTACCAGCGCTGAACCCCATGTCAGTGTCGATTCAGTACACGGAGGACATCGAACACTGGGCTGGATCTAGCACTCAGAAGGCTACTTGCTCGGTAGAGCCTGGTAATGCCGAGGATGTCGGGAAGATCGTGAGGTCTTGTTCGTCTTCCCTGCCACATCATAGTTGACAACCACTCGCCCATAGCTTCAAATCGTCGGGTCAACAAGCACTCCGTTTGCGGTAAACACTGTTTCTCCATCTCAGATGACCTGATGACTTAGGAGAGATACCAAACCAGATTAAAGGTGGCGGCCATGCTTCGAACGTCGGCTTTTCGTCCACCACGGGCGTACAGATATCCATGACCCGCTTCTCAAACGTCACTCTCAGCACAGACTCGGGCACCGTCGATGTCGGTGCAGGTCTCGTGTGGGATGATGTGTACTCAGCATTGGATGGCAGCGGTGTAAACGTCATTGGTGGCCGTGTTCCGGGAGTAGGGTAAGGCTATCAGATATATAGTCGGGATCCAATTTTGACCCCAAGATGGCTCAGAGTGTCTGGTTTCACGCTCGGAGGTGGCTATTCCTGGAAGACTAGCCAGTACGGGTTGACAATCGACAACATCGCCGCATACGAGCTGGTGCTCCCTAATGGCACAGTGACGACGGTAACAGACGAAGATACCGATCTGTGGTTCGCTCTGCGCGGCGGCTTCAATAACTTCGTGCGTCCTAAATCGGACTCCATCGCTTCGCAAGGCATCTCAGATTTCGTTCAGGGCATCGTTACTAACTTCAAGCTCAAGACTGTCCCGCAGACAGATGTCTGGGTATGGTCCTCAAGTCGGTCATAGATTTCCGCTCTATGATACTAATCAGACTACAGGGCGGACTTATCACGCTCACTGTTGACCAGCTGTCGAAGGCCAGCGCCGCCATCGCAGATTTCTCACAGAACAACACGGATAAGAAAGCCGCCATCCTCCCCACTTACAACTCGGTTCTCGGTGTAGTGAGTACCTATTCCGGGCTGAGGAGATCGTGTTTCTTTGATCTCAAGAGATCATGGCGTCATACCTCCGTGAACTGAATCTACGTCCATGTCAGTTCGCGGACGTTGTAAGATGACCACAGATGTCGTTCACACTGCCGCCTCCCACCTCATCCCTTCTGTCACCGTTCTCTGTGCCTCTCACTCACGGGAATGCCATTTCTGTACACAGCCCGGCATGTCATTAATTCTATTTTACGACGCCCCCACGGCCCCTAAGGGCTTCTTCGATGCCTTCACCTCACTCCCTCACTTCACCTCGGATGTCAAGACGCGCAAGTACGCCGACCTCGTCTCTTCCATCCCATCTGACAATCCACTCGAGGGTCAACGGTGCGTCGCAGATTAGAAGCCTTGTCGGTTATTGACTGCGTTCTTTCAGCGCCGCATTCATGACCGCATCTGTGGAAACCTACACCCAGACCATGCTTGAGTTAATTACGAACATGACCGTCGTACGTATCCCATTTGTGGTGCCTTCTAAAAGTACTCACGTTAAAGTAAGAAATACGGTCAACAACTTTCCCTCCTTGATACTGCACCGTTCATCTCCTTTGATGTCGAGCCGTTCGATCCCGCTCTTTTCTCTTACGGTTCCGATTCGGCATACCCACCTGGCCGTTCGCGCGGTCTCATGCCGACGAACCTATACTTTTCTTGGGAACTCTCGAGTCTCGACGACAAAGTCCACAGCATCATGAAGACGATCGCCAACGAAATCACCGCACAAGCCGTGGCCGAGGGTCAGGATGTCGCGGATGCTTTCATATACGGCAACTATGCGCTCGGCGACACATCCCGTGAGAAGATCTATGGAGACAACGTTGCGAGGCTCCAGTCAATCCATGATGCTATTGATCCTGACAATGTTATGGGTCTGGCGGGAGGCTTCAAGTTCTAACGGGTGTCATCTTGACACTACCTCGCGGACCCACACATGTGATTCGCTGCTCATACCCTACTAGTCGCTTCGCTTTCAACGTACGACACAGGTCCAGTAATCATATACTTCGAATCCGTACTCATGAACGCTCCTCCGAGGCGAGGGACAATTGCGAGAGCGAGCCACGCGCCGGAGAACGGCAATAGATTCAAATGATTACGGCGAGACAGTACGATCAGCGCAAATAGTTTACCATCGGTTCCACTATGGCCGCTACTGTTGATACCATGAGCATATATTGACAACATAGACACAATGAAACGTACAATGCGAAGTAAGCATGTTGAGTAGCACGGGCAGTGATGAGACATGGCGAACAATACGGTACAGACTGACAGAGCAAAGCAAAAGCGCAAGTTAGCTATGGATACAGATGCACAGACTATGATGAGGTGAAAATCCGTACCAGATACTATATAGGAGTCCAGAGAGGCCGAAGCCACAGTCTCAAAGTCCCATCCGATTCGCCAACGACTTATCCAGACTCGACGCCCCACCACCTCCACCCTGCCGGCGTCGGCCTCCACTGCGGCGGGAAGTCCGGTCACCACGGTCCTTTGGCTCGCGTCCAGCGAGCTCACGACTCGCGACATCGCGGTCGCGCTCTCTTTCGCGCTCTCGTTCGCGCACACGAGGTCGCTCATGGTCGTCGCTGGGCTTGCGTTTGACTCTCTCTCGCTCCTTCTCACGATCGATACGCGGCTGATCCCGATCCCGCTCACGTTCGCGCTCTTCGCGAGGCCTGTCCCGCATGCGGTCTTGCGCACGTTCACGAGGATTCCCGCGCTCTCTTTCACGGTCATGCCCTCGGTCGCGGTCGCCACGACTGCGCTCCCGATCACGAGGCTGGTCCTTTTCGCGCGTATGTTCGCGCTCGCGAGTCCGCTCCCTACTATCGCGCCCGCGCTCGGAGCCACGGTCACGATCCGACACCCGGTCGCGGTCAGGCAACCGTGATGATCTTGAGCGCGATTCATCGCGACTTGCCCGACTGGCACGGCTGACACGGTCGTCCTCGATAGTCTCGGGCATGCCACCAGGGATTTTGCGGTGGTCCAGCGGCGGCACAGCAGGTGTGGGATCACGCGACTGGGCAGGACGGGCGCTTGCGCCGCGTTCGCTGTCATGGTGGTTGCTCGATTGGCGCCCGACGGGAATGGAGTTTGCAGAGGACATGGCAGGCGGCTCGCCGACACGCTGACGTTTCTGCGCACGCGGGCCGGTCGGGACCGGCTTGGAGCTGCCGTTGCTCGGTGGTGGGTTCATGGACGCGTACATATTCGTCTTGGCGCGTACGGGCAGAGCTGCGTCATGAGTTTTGTCCAGTTCATCGCTGGTGGAGGTCCCGGATTAGAACGTCGCAGCATGTACGCAGAAGTAGGCTTACGACAGGGACTTGATTATCTGATGCGAGTCTACGAGACAGGGTATATCAGCATAGGGAAGCGCCGCACACGCGACACACGCACCCTTCAACGCAACTTCTAGCCTTGCGACAGCACGCCTGAGAGCACGGGCCTCCTCCTTCAAGCGACCAGTCTCCGTGCCTTTCAAGAGTTCATACAGCTCGTCGTTCTCGTCTTGTAGCAGCTTATTTCGTGCTGTTAGCGCGGTCGCCACAGTCCCGCTGGCGGAGCCCGTGCTGGCGTCCGTGGACGCCGAATTGAGATGTGGCAGTAGAAAGGAGACAAAGGAGGGAGGCAGAGAGACTGGGTCGGAAGTCACAGGCGAAGGCTGGTTCGCGAGATATGTCCGTAGATGGGTAACTTCGTCCTGAGGGTACGGTGAGCGTGTGCTTCGGGGTTCATGCTGAATATGACATGACGCACAGTGAGCTTCGCCAGCTGATCATCCCTACGCCTGAGAAGGGCTTCGAGCTGTAGCTCGCGCGCCGTGGGCAGCTCCATCTCAACCTCTGGCACACGGTGGTCGACGTTCAACAGGAGTGACCGCGCGCGCGCCAAGGCACCCCGTCAGCGTGATCTCGTCACCACATATATATGTGGACCCACACGCGAACATGCTCACAAGTCTCGACTTGAACAGTCTGCGTTGAGATATATACTCTAAGGCAAGCAGAGTGATATCTGATACTGTACGTAATCTGGGCACACCCCGCCTCCCCTAGACCACTAATGCCGTGATTGATTGCACTGAGACCTGTGACGCGACGTGACAACGCGTCTTTCGGAATATTGGCGAACTCAACCGTCGCCGCCATGTCCACCCGAGGACGTTCCCCCTCTCCGCGCAGCGGACGCGATGACGACGTAGACATGGATCGTGGCCGCTCCAGGACGCCTCCGCCTCCATCCCAAGACGGGCCGCGCGTGATCATCATACAGAACCTGACGCGCAATGTCGCGGAAGTGCACCTACGCACCATATTCGGATTCTACGGGAATATCACTACTGTAGATCTTCCTATATATATAAAATGTGAGGACTACCTGCGTCTATGTCGCCTGGTTAGAATGAGAGGCTAACCTGAACGTCTACAGCCGGGCAGAATAAAGGCAAGGCGGCGCTCGAGTACGACGACACGGTTGGGGCAGAAAAGGCAGTTGCCCACATGAACAATGGTCAACTCGACGGAGCGGTACTTTCTGTCGCTCTGAGCGACTTGCCTATCCGAAAACGGTCTCGTTCTCGCTCGCCACTACCACCTCCACGTGGGCCTCCTCCACCCCGCGGCTACGGTCCGCGCGCACGGGACCGGCCACGGTCATTGTCTCGCTCCCGCTCGCGTTCCCGCAGTCCCCCGCCTCGCTACGGCCGTGCAAGATATAGTCCCGGTCTTCGTCCTGGCAGCCCTCCTTACCGCCGCGGTCCGCCCCCACGTGGTGGCGGAGGTGGACGATACGGCTACCGTCCGCGGTCACGCTCTCGGTCTCCCCTTCCTCGCCGTGGCCCCGGTCTGCCACCTCGCCGACGGAGTCCGAGCTACGAACGCGGAGGCTACGCGCCAAACCGACGCGGGCGCACACGCTCTCGCAGCGCGAGCTACAGCGTTCGCTCCAGCCGCTCGCCGTCGCGTTCGATTAGCCGGAGTCGTTCCCCCCGCAGCAGGTCTCGCAGTTTCTCGTCCAGAAGCAGGAGTCGCACCCCATTGTCGCGCTACAGTAGGAGCCGTAGCCGGTCACTGAGCTACCGCAGGAGCGTGAGCAGGGACAGGAGGAGTCTTAGCAGAGATGACATTCGTGACAGCAGGTCGCGTTCGCCACCACCCGTGCCGAAGGATTAACTGGCTATTGCAGAGAGTATGGTAGTCGCTGACTAGTCTGTATATCTTGTTGCAAGGACAAAATGTTGGCTTCACCATACCGTATCTTTATAGATGTGAAGTCTGTGGTGGCCCCAGAGCGAGCATTGGCCCTGACAAACTGTACACGTACACCCCCCACATTGTTCATAATTGGTTTCTCGTCCTCCATGTTTTATACGAAAGATGTGCGATGCCATCAAAGGCTGAGGACTCATCTGGGACGCTGTTGTAATGTCACTCCGCAAAGCCGTGCAAATCCGACAAGCCAGTTTCAGTTGGTATCAAGCTGTTGTCTTCGCCACTATCGCCATCACATCCTCCGCCGTCATCATTACCGCTGGCATATTTGTTCACATTGTGGCCGTCTGAATGCCTCTTCTGAGTTCTCGGGCTCGGAATGCCGGGGCACTCTTTCCCTCTTCTTCACATCCACACTCATATCCCCCCTCTAAGTGTCATCCTGGTTGGGCCAATGCTCATGTCGTTGCCATCGCTTCCATCACTATGTCTTGCGTCACTGTGCCCGGCACCGGTTAGTAGTACTAGCGCAGACCCGTGCTCCGCACGGGCTTGCCGTTGATGGTTGCCCGTAAACGTACCCTGCACCCAGTATACTATCTGTGCCATACACTCAGCAG